TCGAAGGAGCGTATGGCCTGCCATTGGCCGCCAGCTGTTCGGATGATCCATTCGGTCTTCGGGGGCGCGGTGGGAGCCAAGTTCGGCCCTGGCGAGGAGAGGAGCAGTCCTTGATGTGTTCGTCCAGGGCGCTGGGCACCGAGGTGGCCGCCAGGTTTGGAGGGGCTGGCAGGTCCGCTCGTCGGCTCGGCGCCGAGCCGCGGCGTGGATGGTTGCGTAAGCAGCCCCCGTCGAGTGAAAGGTCGCAGCTCTGAGCAGGGGAGAAGGGACAGACAATCCATGGCCTCTGTGGGGCGCCTTCGAAGAGCTGAAGCCCACCATCGGTGGGGAGGTTGCTCGGAATCTTTCTGCTCCAGCGGCCCTGCCAAAGGCCGCGCGCTCGCGGCCCTGTTGCTGGCGCGCGGCCAACCTTGCTGGCATGCGGCGGTTCCGCCGATCTGCGGGTGGGCCGAAGAGGCGCGGTGGGCCCACCATTGCTCTTACCAGCACGCTGTGGAGTTCTCGCGGAGTTGCGGGCCGCCTGGGAAGCGGGGTTCAAGAGCCAATCCCCGCTGTGGCAAAGCGTCTCGGGCCCTGTGGCGGCCCTGCGCAAATCCTGCGAACGCGTTTCTTGGGCCATGTCTAGTTTTGCGGTGCTGGTTACGGACCAGGGCCAAGTTTAGTTTGAAGCTCACCGATGTTTTCATTTGCCTCATCCGCAATCTGCTGCGTAAGGCTGCGTTGTGGGGCTTGGGTGGGATATGAGGGGCTCGTCTTGGGATGCAAGCTGGAACGCGTGTGAAACCAGCTAGCTATTTACAAAGCAGCAAACATACCGCCTATCAGAAGGGTTGTTGGAGAGCTTTCTTGTGCAATGCTATTGACACTAGAGCTAGGGCCGAAAGCCTCGTCTACGCGTTGCCGTCGAGCCTGTGCTTGAGATGTGGGGCCACCTTAGACGCGCTTAGACATCGCCCCTGGAAGTGCAAGGACCTCGAGTGCGTGGAGCGCAGAGACAGCTCAGCGCCTCAGAAGATCCAGAAGTGGGCAGCTGAGGCTGACGACAATTTGGCTGCCACGGAGTGTTCGCCCACCCCGCCGACTCTTTCCCGTCGCCGCTCTCCGAGGGGGGCATCGAGGAGAAGGTTTGGGACATCGACGTCGCTTTCGAGGGGGACATGTTCGTAGACGGATCCTGCGCTAGATATCTCGTCGGTGAATTGAACAGGGCTGGCTGGGCCATCATCCCGGTGTTGCGAGAGACGGGAACAGTGCGGATGCGAGGGCCCGTTTGGGCGCCATGTCCTCAGATGCCGCAGGCGGCTGAATATCATGCTATGTCTGTCGCCGCGCAGTGGGCCACGGGGCCTGGCGCGATGTTTGTTGATTGCCGGGGCCGTGTGTGGATTTTGCTGCGATGCCCCGGAGCGAACAGGCCTCGGCCACGAGGATGCAGAGCGGCATGGCGCAGTTTCTGCAGCAGGCGAGGCCTCGAGCGAAGCTCGAAAAGGTTCGGGCCCATCTCTTCGTCCACGTGGCCGTTGATGATGAAGACCGCCATGGGCGGCACGGCAGCGATCGGGCTGGTCCGGCCGCCGCGGGTGCGGCACCCTTGCGTCCTGAGCCTGCCGTGGGGCTTCGCGGAGGAGGAGGAGGAGGAGGAGGCGGAGGAGGAGGCGGAGGAGGAGGAGGAGGAGGAGGCGGAGGAGGCGGAGGAGGAGGAGGAGGCGGAGGAGGAGGCGGAGGAGGAGGAGGAGGAGGAGGCGGAGGAGGAGGAGGAGGAGGAGGCGGAGGAGGAGGAGGAGGAGGAGGAGGGGGTCACTGGCAAATCCTGTGCCGCCGCCCGTGTGGTGGGACGTCTTGGGGCTGAGTTGCTCGTCGGGTGGCCCCGTCTGTCCCTCGGCCCAGGCGCCCAGCGCATCCCCCGCCCCATCCTGTGGCCAAGCCGCCAGGAGACAAAGCTGTACACCAGTGGGGATGGGTGGGCAGCCAATGGCAGTGTGCTGCTTGTCTACGGTCGGAGGGCACCAACTTTACACCAACACCGATCCTGGCCCAGGATCGCCCTGGGCCCATGATCGGTGTATATGCCTTCTTGCCCAAGGCAGGAGGACGTATACACCGATCCTGGGCCCAGGGTGATCCTGGCCAGGATCGGTGTTGGTGTATAGTTGGTGCCTTCCTATACGGGGAAGGCGCGGAGCGCCTTCGGTCGAGCCCCAGTCCGGGACGCGCTCGACTGTTTTGCGCGTGCAGCCTGCGAGCCTGCGTTCCCTAGGCCATCGGTGCGTGCTGCTCGATTGTCCATGTGTTTCTGCGTATTTGCCACAAGTGCTCTTACATGACGTCGGGGGGTCCGCTCAGGAACCTCGACAAAACGTGTGGGCCAAACACGTTGGCATCGCACCGCAATCCGCGGAATAATTTGAAAAACAAGGGGCTCCATCCGAATCGGCCCGGGGTCTCCGTCGATTTAAGCACGTCTTGCCATTTTTAGCGTGCCTCATTGATTTCAATTTTGGCCTCCCCCCAGGGGGGGGGTCACCCACCTTCTGGGGTGTACGTTGGGTTGCGGCATCGTGGATGCAAAACATCCTCCTCCCTCCTCCTTCTCCTCCTCCTCCTCTTCCTGCTCCTTCTCCTCCTCCTCCTCCTCCTCCTCCTCCTCCTCCTCCGTTCTTCTCCTCCTCCTTTTCCCCCGCCCTCCTCCTCCTCATCATCCTCTTCTTCCTCCTCCTCCTCCTCCTCCTCCTCCGCTTCATCCGCCCTCCTCCTCCATTCCTTGTCCGAGGCCAGTTTTTGGGGCGGGCCGGGCGTTTCGCCTGAGACTTCCGCACCGCTTTTGACCCTGAAGCTTATCACTTGGCAACCGGTTCACAGAGGGAGGACGGGCCGTCTTCGAAGGGTGGCTCTCGCTTTAGCGCCGCGCACAGTCGTTATCATTGCCTCGTGACGTACCCAGCCCTTTCTATACATGTGGCGATTCTATTCAGGAGTACTCAGTGCTGCCTGGCATTCTGACGGACCCGCAGTGCGCAGGAAGAGCACCCAGCAGGGATTTCAGAAGAGCGCAGCAAGAAGAGGAACGGCGAATCTACAGCATGGAAGCACAGGGGCGTTAAAAGAAACGCGCCCGACAAGTGAACAGAAAAGGGCGCGGCGGCGAGGGCTAAAACAGAACATCAGTTTAACTCAGCAACGCGCTGCGCTGAGCGGGGCAAATGCATGAGGTGCATAACGGGGGTGGAGGCCCATCCAGAAGTGGAGACAGAACGGCGCGGCAGCGCACCCAAAGAGAAGCACCCAACGGTGGAGTCGAACGGTCGCGGTCGCGAGAACGCGCAGGAACACGCAGAAGTGGACGCGGGCGGGCGCGGTAGAAAGAAGCGGCCCGAAGTGGTCTCAAACGAGCGCGACGAAAGTGGCGACAGTTGCGCAGATCGCAGGCCCCCCAGGGGGCGGCGAGGTCCCGAGGACGGGCAGGCGCCGGAAGCGGAGGGGGCAGGGCGGGACGGACGGTCTAGGGGGAGGGAGGGCGGGCGGGGAGGGGAGAGAGCGGAGGGGAAGGACAGGGAGGGCAGACCGGGAGGGCAGACAGGGAGGGGAGAGAGCGGAGGGGAGAGGATAGACACGCGCCAGAGAGAAGTGGCCCTTTCTCCTTGGCAAGAAGACGAAGAAGAAGGATAACAGACATAAAGCTGAGCATACTAGATGACAACTCATAAGAGGAAGTCGGCGACGAACGACGACGACGACGAGGGACGGCGACGAACAGACCACGACGACGGTGACGACGACGACGACGACGACGACGACGACGACGACGACGACGACGACGACGACGACGACGACGACGACGACGGCGGCGGCGGCGGCGGCGGCGGCGGCGGCGGCGGCTGCTGCCTCGGCGATCAAGTGTCGAGGATCGAGGGTTGCGGACGTTTCTGGGAGGCACCCTTCGAGGATC